GATAATCAGCCCCTGTAATGTCCAAGAAATTCTTCTGGTGTGGATTAGTGCCTCCAACCTCTGGGTAAAGATTGGCCGCTGCAAGCCTCAAATCCCGAACCAAAAATCTGTCGGCTTCTCTTTCCTCCAGGGTCCGCAGACGCAACTGTTCTGGCGAGCACTTGATGAAAGATCCAGGCATAGCGACCCAAAAATTGCCGCCTGCTTCTCCTGCTATGATGCCCGGCCCTCGCCAGCGCGCGTATCCGCGTTTTCCGGGAATGCCCCGACCTCTTCTCCAAACCGCCACCTGGTCGCCATGCCTGAATTCTCGTTGCGGGCGCGGCCGGCTGTTCAGAGCCACCCGAGCCGCCTTGCAATCCGCGGCCTCGAGCACTGCTTTGCGCGCAAACTGTCGCACCAGATGGGCTCGGGCGGCCTCCGCATCTTCCAGAATTGCTCCATTTGCTATGGGGTTTGGGTCCGGTGTCAGAATGTCATCCCCTGGGATTTCCGGGTCACGCCCCAGGACCATCTGGTACGGGCTGTGCCCAGCCTTCCGCAGCAACATGTTCTTGGCTTCAACTGTGCAATCGACACATTCCACCCACTCGTCATAATTGCTGGGGTTTGCTTGGTCCAGAACTTTGACCAACATGTCCTCAAAATGCTTCCCCTGAACTTCTACGTCCCCAATCTGCTCATGCGCCTCCCCCGGAATATCCAATGGAGTTGTCCCATCCCGTTCCAAGGCGTCTATGAAGTGCTGCCCAAGATTGCATCTGGATGCGTCGAATTTCACCCACCGCGGTCTGCCATATGGCCGCGTCCACGACTGCCGATACAATCTCCGTATCAGGTCGGACGACTCTGTCTCTCGGAACGGGGTCATCTGCTGCATGATCTTTTCCCCCTTGCGCCAGCTGGGAAGGTGCTTCACGTCCAAACCAACATATCGCAAAGGTGCCACATCTTTGGGGACTGCTGATGCACGAACAATCTTGGGTTCCTTTCTGGCCGCACATGTGGGACAGTCAAACGCTCGGACCATGTCTAACACTCCCTCAGAGGCCCCACGATGCTGCAGGATCCTGATCATGTCCGGAATGCTTGCATGCCCCAGATTGACATGCATTTTCTTGAGGGCATTCTCCACCTTCCGTCGACCCTCCCCTTTCAGTTCCTCTGTCGTCAACACATTTGAACATGCGTCTGACCAGTGGTCCTGCGCCACTGCTCCAGCCAGAATTCGTCTCACCAGCGTCGGTGGGTAGACCTGTGATTGGATGGATCGTGCGACCCCTCCCGAACTGCCTTCCACCAGCTGATGTTCGTGATCCCCGCTGCAAACCAACTTCCCCAATTGCAGCGCGATTGATTCGGACGAAGTGATAAACCTCCACGACTTCCCAAAAGGTTTGCCAGAGTCCTTGTCCCTCAAACCAACTGCACATGCCGGGACGTCAATCACAAAATGTTTATTGCCCAACCGTTGCACTTCTGGTAACTTCCAGGCACCCGATCCCCGTGCTGACTCGAAAAGGAAATGTTTCCCCACGTTGACCTGGCCTTCCGCCAAACTGCAACACCACCGAATCATGCTCTTGGCTTCCTCAACCTCTGCTGAAAATCGAGCCGGGTCGCGTCTCCGGGCACTGGGTGTTAAGTTCTGCAGCACCGACAACGCCCCACATGGCGGACTCATCGCCACCAGGTCCGGCTCAGTCTCCAGGATGGACTGCTGGGCTTCGCGCCTCGCCAACGGAACTCTCCAGTCCCATCCATTGCTAAGGTCGTAGATGCCCTTGCTCTCGAAGCCCACTCTTGCACACTCGTCCGCGAACCGCCCCGGCACGAATACCTCCGCCACGGACATCGGCTCGTTGGATGCTGCCATCACTTCCACCAGGTTGGCCTGCAACTTCTTCCGCTGGTTGCGGCTCATGACGCACCACTGGCCTGCCTCCTCATCCGAGGAGTCAGCCCCCGGCTCCTTACTCGCCACCGCCAGGACATCCGTTGTGGGGATCCCGTCCATCAGGTTCAGCTGGTAGGACCCGTCCGGCGGCTCGTGCATCTCCACCTCCAGACCATTCAACACGAGCGTGTTCTTCTCCAAGTCCAATTTTGCACCCAGTCCTTTGAGGAACTTCTTGCTGATGAGCAATGGGACCTTTCCCGGCACCACGTAGACCTTCATGCCGATGAGCTTGCCCCGGAGATAGCACGGAATCTGCACCCGACGAATGGCCTCGTCAGTCGACCCATTCCCATACCGAAACCGCTGCGGCTTCATCTTCAACTCCGTGATCTGCAGGCCGGCCTTGTTGAGGGCGATCTCATGCTTTTGCAACGTCATCTCGCCCACGATGCCTCGCCCACATCCCGTGTCTAGCACTCCGAAGCCGGCAGGATGTGTGAGCAGGCATTCACTCACCTCCTCCCCACCGTCCATGCCCTCCTCATCGTCAGAGAACGTCTCCGCCAGGTTCACCGCCTGGTCCACATTGTCCAGCACATCCGTGGTGTCCTGCTCCCCCACGATCTCCACCTGCTCGGCCTTCGCATTCTCAAGGCCCTCCTGCAGCTGGTCGATCGTTTCGGTCAGGTTCTCCCCGTCCTTGTCCTCGGTCACGCGCCGTCTCCTCCTTGTCCCGGAACTCCTTGGTCTCGCCGATCGTGATCGGTCGCTTTCCAGGTCCGCTTGACCGACGTCTCTTCCACGTTCACCTCCGCCGGGGCCGCCCTTGATCCAGAAGATCGATCGCCCCGTCCAGAGTTGTCCCGCATGAAGATTAGCTTCTTGAGGTTGTCGCCATTGGTTCACGTACTCAAAGCTCCCGACCCCCTCGACGTCCATGATCGTCATTCGCTCGGGCTCCAGTTCGCTCCTGGGCACCGGGCATCCACCTCGCGGTTGATACAGTGCGTGACGTGGGACCTCGTGGATCCGGATGACCTGGTTGCCCTCCTGCACCCACGAGTCCTGCTTCTGGAGGAGCTCCTCGTCGTAGAACTCCATCTCATCCACAGTGTCGCCCTCCACCGGTTGCTCCGGTTCCTGGGAGACGCTGCTGCCCTGCTCTTCCTCTTCAACTGACGAGTGGGACGTGTAGGGCTCGTCCCGCTTCCACGGTGGAACTCGATGCTTTCCGCCGTCTCGCCAGATAGATCTCCTCTCCGGCACGTCCTTTCCATGAGGCCATGCCATGAACACGTAGTTCACGTTGCTGCCAGTGGCCTTCCCGGCCCGCTCGGCGACCTGCTTCTTCGGGCAGTTCCTGCTGAAGTGGCCGATCTGCTTACAGCGAAAGCATCTCACTCTCGCCTCCAACTTCTTCACATCCGGCTTCGGCCCCGGTGGGAGGCCTCGCGAGATGCGCTCCTTGTTGATGGTGGCCCGGGTCTGCTTCCAGGAGAGCAGCACCTCAATGGCGTCCTGCTCTTCCACCGCTTCCTCGCCATCGAAGGGGTCGAACTCCTCCGCGGCGAGCACCGCCTGGGTCATCCCGTCGTCACCCTCCTCCACCGTTTCCATCTCCACCGCGTGCACCCCTCTCGGGGCTCCTGATCCAAGCCCCTCCGGATACGTCGTCCTCAGGGCCGCCGCCACATCCCGTTCTTCATAGCTTTGCCTGGCTGCTGCCAGAATGACTGCCCGTCTCTCCGCACTGACCTTGGCGAACCTCAGCAGCATGTAGCCACGCGCCACCGACGGGAAGGAGATCCCCTCTGCCTCCGCCGCCGCAAACACAGCTCTCACCTTGCCAGTGAAGTTCCCGGTCGTCTCTCCTCTGTCCACCTTCAAGTCGAAGATGGTGTCCATGACCTCACCGATGCGGTCGTGCGCCTCCTCTTCGGGGTACCTCTGATCCAATATCTCGTAGATCACCTCTTCTCCCCCATGTTCTTCCAGCCTTGCCATGTCCACCTGCTCAAAGGCCCGGAGCGCAGTTCCATCCAGCAAAGTGTACAGCACGGACCCAAACGCCTCGGCGGGGGTCCCCTTTGCCTTCTGCACCGTGAGGTAGGCCCGGCTCCAGCGTCGCCACCGACGGTATGCCTTGCTGCTCCCGTCGTCGCCATCTCCGCTGAATCTCTTGATGGCGGAGCTGAAGTCCTTGCCTTTGTCCATCTCGATCGCGATCTCCCTGATCGTGTCGAAGCTCTCGCTACCAATTTGGTCGCCGCGCAGCTTTTATGGCTCAGTGCCCTACCGTAAGTCCTCGCCCTAGGGCCTACCTACATGTCGAGCGATCCCTTGAGCCAGCCAACAAAGATGCATACATGCGTGGCACCGGACATGGCAGTTTCCACAACTCCTATTTGGAAAGGAGTTGTTTATTTGAATTCAAGTTGAACATAGAATGCATTTGGAAAACTATATCCTTACTGAATTCTATTCAAAATTCCAAATCTATTTGGAGAAATATCCGATTTGTAAAGGCTATCATATTGGGGCGTTTCGGAGGACTGCGGGCTCCGAATTATGAGGCTTTAATTTAGGTTGCCCAAAGCTGGAAAGCTCGAGGATTCACATCTCTGGGCTCTAGATTGTTCATGCAAAAAAGGAACTAAAATCTAGGTCCTTGGAAAGAGGGGGTGCGCATGTATATATATATATATATGTGTATATATATATATGTATATATGTATATATGTGCGTGTGCGTGCGCGTGATTTGTTTGTACAGTGGCAAACTCGTTTTGACTAATACTGTGCACCAGGTGCAACATGTTGGCAACAATTGCTTGGGGCAACCCAGGTGGAACTGGACCTATGAAGCGGCGGTCACATGCCCAGATAGGCTTTTGATACTGCGCTTTGGCCCCAACGGGTTCCTGACTCGAAGGAGGAAACATTCAAAGTTGGATCACCACCTTTCCTTTGCTCAAGTCCGAGGTCAACAACAAATCAGATTCCGCTCGCCAAAAACAAACCAGCCTCTGTTTCATATTTGGTCAACCCTAAAATGGGAAAAATCCTTTGGGAGGTGCCCTTTCGCTTCTCATTCAAGAGTCCAAGCTGGTAGTGCCCGAATTGAGCATGACGCTCGCCAGCTGTGCGGAGTGGCTTGTGAGGCGCAGGTCACCTGAGAAAAAGAATGCACTCAGCCTCTCAACCGCCTCAGGGGTGGGTGTTTGGCAAAATGAGTGACAATCAAAACCTGGTATTAAAATGGTCGACCCAGAACCATGTAAAGAATTAAGAAGGCGGCTGCAACTATTTATGGCTGGGACTGCTCCGTACTAACCTTCACTTACCCGCGTTTTGATGGTGACTCAACTGAGATCTCCGTCTCATTACTCGAAAGGGGAATTTAGCCAACACAGGTCGAATACGAGTGAATTGGCACAAAACAAGGACTTTTCGCCACTAAAGTAGCAACCCAACAGCGAGTCCAGGCACTCAGGGAGTGAGTGCCAGGGTCGCAATGCCAAAGGAATAGCGCAAACACCTCACAGCTGCGAAAGCTGGACAAGGGAGTGGATGGGTTTAGCTTGCCCCGGAAAAGCAGCAAATTACATTCCTTGGGGAAGGTGCATATGTATACGTAAATACACATATATATAAATATATATACCGTAAGTATATCTACAAACATAATGATTTGTATACGTATGCATGGCTACATACACACATGTGCATATATCCGCCGACATTGCTCAGCGTGTCGGACATCTAAGCGAGGATAGAGGATAACCCCCTCCCTAACCCCCCCCCCCCCCCCGCCCGACGATACGTAGGGCACAGGAGGGGGGTCCCCCACGTACCGCGCGGTAATTTGATGACGTTCCACTAAACGTAGTCTTCGGGGAGCCGGTGTCGCCAAACAGGGGTCCCAGGCCGAATCCCCCTGCCGGCTCTTTCTCCTTTTGCCGAAAATCTGGAAAAACTCTGTGTTTTTGGACGTCCTCTTTGCGAAAACGCTGGAAAAAGCAAGGATGTGCAAGGAAATGAGGGGAGGAAATAGGAAGTCGACATGACAGGAAAGCGACGGGAAATGAAAGGGAAACAAAGGGGAACTGAAAGGGACATGAAAGCGACAGAAATGAAAACAAGGGGAGTGCAGGGGGAATGAACAGCGAACAAAGGACAAGGCAACCAATCGGCACGACGGGAAATGTCGGGAACTGACTCGCAACGAAAGAACGGGACATGCATGGAAAATGACAGGGGCATGAAGGGGGGAATGGAAGGGACATGACCAGGACATCATGGGAAACGTGAAAAGGACATGAAAGGGAAATCAAGGGGAAAGCCAGTAGTGAGGTGACGCTGCAATGCAGAGAGAGAGGGAGAGGGAGGGAGAGAGAGGGAGGGAGAGAGAGAGAGAGACAGAGACAGAGCCAGAGTCAGAGAAAGAGACAAAGAAAGAGACAGACAAAGAGAGAGAGAGAGAGAGAGAGAGACACAGAAAGAGAGAGAGAGAGAGAGACACAGAAAGACAGAGAGAGAGAGAGAGAGAGACAGAGAGAAAGAGCGAGAAAGAGAGAGAGAGGGAGAGAGAGAGAGACTAGGTCGTCCAGTAGAGAGGTTAGAATAAGGGTGCCCTTTTTCTGTAGAGGGGCGTGGGCAGGAAGGAGACAGGGAGACAGAAAGAGACGGAGACACAGAGAGAGAGAGAGAGAGAGAGAGACAGAGACAGGGAGATTGAGGAGAGAGAGGCTTGGGGGGATGGGGAGGATGGGGAGCAGAGGGAGGGAGAGAGGACGACAGAACACGCGGTGGAGGAGACAAGGGAGAGAGGAAGAAGGAGAAGAGGGAGAGGACAATGTCGGCGGACTGAGCCGGAGGCTCTAAAGTATATACAATGCACCTTAATCCCCAGTTTGCAAAATATAAATTGGAAATAAGGAATCGCCGAGGAAAGGAACTTCATCATGGGTGATTTCGCTTTGCTCCCAGACTGCCAGATCGGTGAGCTCGTTGTGATCCTCTCAGGTACGTAGAACATGATCTATAATATGTTTCATCTATGTACTTAATTGTTTTCCCAGTCTACGAATCAATATGCAAAAATGTGTTTAACAGATTTTTCGTTCTTTTGTCCCTCTATCAGCACCCAACAAAAGAGCTACCTTCCACAAAAGTGTCACGCCCACATGGGTATGGGTCAGAATTATTGAACCACCAGGACACCCCAGATTTTAGTCCTTGCTTCCATGTACCAGGGTTTCATGTTGGGTACGTACTTTTTTGACACACAGCCAAATATCACTATTTTGCTTCGTCTATTTACTTCATTGTTTCCCCAGTCTGCAAAAGTATTCTCTGCAATAATACTGTGGATGGACGGAATCCTGCACCACTTTGAAACCACGACAAACCATTGGTTGTTGGAATTTACAGGGGAATCGCATCGTTTTCTGAACGGTGGTGCGAAATGGATTCCGTCCATCCGCAGTATACTCAGTAATATATTTAAAGGGTTTGTCTGAAAAACGAGGACCCTCAAAAAAAGGACCCTCAAATCAATATATGCAATACTGTAATATACGTATATCATCTTTGGGCAGAGGCGCTGTCCAGCTCGATGACGGCATCACAGGTGAGGCTCAGCAGCGAGGAGGCGGCGCTGAGCTGCGTGGCAACGTTGCCACGCTCCAGCTCCAGCTCCACCTTCCTCAAAGCCGGAAATCGCCCCCCCCCCCCCGCCTCCAACCCCCCCCCCAAACCCCCCACCCCCCCAAACCCCCCCGCCCGTGAAGCAGTTCCAAAGCGAAAACTGAAGGGAACAGATTTGTGTGGTTTTGCTGGCGCTCTCTCCAGCCATTTACGGGTTTGTGGGTTCTATACTGGTCTGCACGTGTAGGACAAGTCCGGGCTGGGATCGTTGGAGAGAACTGCGGCCTGCGCTTGTGCCCTGGAAGGTAAGATTCTCCAACTCGACTGACCCTGGCATCAGCAGATAGGATTCCGACCTTCATGGAAGTTGCCACTCCAGCAAAGGCTTCGGCTCACGCCAAGCAACCTCCTCTTGATTTCCAGGCGGGCCACGGTTTTCAACTTGTTGAAGTGTCATCCTCAAATTGAGGGTTCAAGGGGGTGTTCTTGCAAAGTTATTTTGTGAACCGCGCACCCTGAAAACGGAAAACGGCAACTAAAAGTCGTTGGACGTTCAGCCCTGGTTTGGGCAATATTTCTCGCTGGCGGTGGGGGGGGGGCAGCAAACTCCGGAATACAACCCGTGGGATGACGAAGAAGCCAGCCCCTCAGGCAGCCCAGCGTTTGTTAACCATCCGTCTGTCGCTTTAGCGTCTGTCGCATGATACGGCCCATGATCATGAAGAAGCCCATCAGGTGGGTGAAGCACATCAGCTCAATGCGCAACGCAAAGTTCCCTGGGCGAAGGCCAATATCCAATGCCCCTACGGTGCCGTGCCATATTGCAAGTAATCAGCCGTACTCAGCCACAAAGCGGTGGCAAAATATGATGCTGTAGTCTACCATGGTTTTGTGGCTGAGTATGGTTGGCTTACTTGAAATATGGCAGGTGTATCTGGCAGAGGGTCGGAGGCGGGTCCCCAAATTCCATGTCCTCTTCCCAAAGGGGAGGGGGAAACCATTGAACGGGGGTGCGCCACAATAGGCCAAACCGCAAAATTGTTGGTGTCCGCTCGGTATGCCCCCAAAGGGTACCAAGTCCGAAATTACACCGCAATCGACGCCAAACACTTCGAAAGGGAAACAAGGACCACGGAACCAGGGTGTCTAAAGAGAATCTATGTACAAGGTCTCTTGGGAGGATGCTTGCAAGAAAACTTGATGTTTAACAAGAACTTCCGCGTACTGGTGGGCTAGCCCGCTCTAACACTGCATGCATCTGCGCGATCTTTAAGACTAGACGCAGTTGTGCGAAAAATATGCGGAATACAAAAAGGAAAAAGCGAGAACTGGGGACTAGAAGCGGGACGTGGCCCCTGTGCGTGAATTTGTCCCTTCTGTATGTGAGGGCTCGGTCGCAACACCCGTGCGGACGCGCAAGCCTCTGCGGGCTTTCCGGGGGTTGCCCTCAAAAACCCGTTGTGTTTTGTCTAAACGCTTTTTCCAGCTTGCGCAACCATTAATATGGTGAACCCTGCAGACTTTCGGCGGGTTGACCCTAAGAAGCTAATGGCTTTCTGCGGATTTCACTTTCGTGGGTTGGAGAGAGGGGGAGAGAAAGAGAAAGAAAAAAGAAACAAAAAGAGTTACTTCGCTTCGAGCAATCCCCATCCTCCACTCCCACGAGCTTACGACCGTGAACACGGTTGTGTGAATTCAAGCATGGTTTTCGAGTGGCTTGGGGCCTATGACTGCTCAACAAGCCTTGTATTGAGAACCTTATCCACCTGTCTGTGTGTCAAACTCCACTTGTCTGCGAGCCGATCTCGGGAACTCAAACATCGGTTCCGTTAACAAAGACGGGGGATTAAACGAAGTTGCTTATTCGCAACCCAAAGCAACACAAAAGCATCACCCTTGCCGAGCCTCAGGGTACTTACGCTCAAAACACGAAGGCACCAACATGACATGTAAACCCATCTTTGCGCCGGGCGGGACATTAAGCAAAACCAGACTGGCGAGCTGCTGCTCTGGCGGGATACTGGCGGGAGCCACTGGCGAATACTGGCGAGCACTGGCCGGATACTCGGCAGGATCCAGCGGCATGCTCGGCGGGATCCAGTGGGACACTTGGCGGGATCCACTGGCGGGCTGCTCTGGTGGGATACTCGGCGGGATCCATGGGCAAGCTACTCTGGAGGGATACTTGGCGGGATCCACCGGCGGGCTGCTCTGGTGGGATACTTGTATCCATGGCGAGTCGCTCTGGCGGCATACTCGGCGGGATGCACTGGCGAGCCGCTCTGGCGGGATACTCGGCGGGATCCACCGACAAGTGCTCTGGCGGGATACTCGGCGGGATCCGCTGGCGAGCTGCTCTGGCGGGATACTGGGTGGGGGCGTGGTGTAGAAGCATCGCAAACGCGGATTCCAACATAAAATCTAACAACCCCTTCCTGTCGGGTGGGAAAAA